ATGGAAGTAGGATTGCCCAACCTTCCTTCTGAGGAGTGGCTGGTGGGTTTGAACCGCCAGCCTTCTGGTTAGCAGTCAAGTGCTTTAGCCACTATATTCTTGGGTTAATGATTATTGACCACCATGTGCTTCACAACCATTATCTTACCGAAGATTCTAACAACACTGAGGTAGATATTATTACTGTCCACACTTTTCCATTAGGAAATAAAGACTTAAGGAAGTTAGGGAACTTGGCCAAGGTCTTATATCAAGGGAGTAGCAGAACCCAGACTGAAAATACAGCCTTGTGCGACAGTGCATAACCAGTGGCATATAATGCAACATTATTTTAGTGTGAAGGTATTATTACAAACTGTATCCTTATTTTACATATATAAGAAAACTGAGGTTTATAGAAGTGTAGTGACTTGCCTAAGGGAACAGAGCCAGGAAGTGATAGAAACTGTAAAAAACAATACTCAGAGAACAAAAAGGAGTTCTTGTAATTTATAAATTGGGTAGCTGAAATTAAAATTCAATACAGTTTACCTTTAATGGAAGATAAAATCAGTAATATTTTCCAACAATGTAAAAGAAAAACACAGAGAAAAAATAAAAGAGGTAAGAAATCCATCCAAGAGCTTTAACTTTGACTACTGGGAGTACTAGAAAATGAGAACAGAGAGAATGGAAGGGAATAAATTCGTAAAGAAATGAGAATGTTAGTTGTCTACCCAAATCCATTCTTCCCTTCTTGTTGGGCACATAGCTAGAAACATTTCCCAGATTCCCTTAAGAATTAAGGGGTCATGTGAATATGAGCTCTTAGATGGAATGTCAGTGTGGGAGCAATGTGAGCCATTTCTAGGCAGGCTCATACACTCACCCACGTACTTTCTCTTTTCTGTGTGCTGAAATGGCAATGACGAAAAGGATCTTAGAAACCACATGTTGAAGATGGCAGAGCACTGCCAGCCTGGTTCTGTGCTGCCTGTACGGCACAGCTCCCTGCTGACCTATTACATGAGAAATAAAATTATCTCGTAGGCGAGCCATTCCACTTTGGGGTCTATCTGTCATAGCTTTGTT